ATGTGTGTATGTATGCATGGGGAAACATCCATGTAGGATGGAAAAATTGATAAATTATTTTGTTTTGGTTTACTTCAAAATGTTTAACTCTGAAGTGTAAGTGTTTTACAAGTCCAAAGTGAGTCATGCTGTTTGTTAAAGTATCCCCTAGTTAACACACAATGTGGTTTCCCATGCAAGCTGGAAGAGTTTCTTCCAAATACTTGATTAATCTATGAGAGACAGCGATTTATCTAAGGGGCACACAGACTCCTGTGAGAAAGGTGTTTGTCAGCTGTCCTTGTGTAGTAGTAGATACAATTTCAGCAGAAAAGTTCTGTTGGCTGTGCCTCTGAAATTAAACTCAGCTCTGGCTTACTGGCGTTTGTGTTAAACTGTTACGCGCATGGCCATGGGTAAAATCCTTAAGTTCCCTCACAAGTACTTAAATTGAAAATAAAAATAAAATACAGGCTCTGTATGGTTAAGGGGCATGCCATAAGTGAGCAATGTCTGAACTGTAACATAGGAATATCAAATATCAAACATTCATGACAAATAAACACAGACTAAACTCCCAAACTTTCTGAAGCCTGTCCTCACCTGAAAATTGTCTCCTCTTATTTTGTCACTGTCTGGCTCCTTATGCCAATAAAGTATTAGAGGGTTGCCCCATAGTTTATGTGCTCTCTTCAGCTTAGGCATATTTTTCTTCAGCAGTAATTTTACAAGAAGCTTCTGCTTACTCACTGATGAAAATTTATTAATTGTAACAGTGTATTTAAACTGTATAACCCATTTTAATCAGTCGGGTTTAAAAACCCTTTAACTTACAGGAGCCTCTGAGAATTTGCTATGGCCCACCAGAGTTAGCCAGGCCATCATTTCAGAGCCACCAAATTTAGCTGATCCTCTTGCCCCTTCCCCTCTACAACTCTGCAAAGAAGTGGTGTTTGCAGGAAGGCACCACATATGCTATGGCAGTGTATTTAATATACAGTCACAGAGCTGGGCATGATCTGTGTTAATGGGATTGTGCAAGCTAATGGGAGAGACTGACCCCTTTATGCGTCAGTCCTAGGCATCAGCATTAGATCTATGTACCTGGGAAAGCAGCTTCTCCCAGCGCTAGACTAGCACTAACATTACTCCCTGGGCCCTTTGCTGTACGTGATTAAGTTTTCTCATTAAGCACTGAAGCTGTTTTCTAGTCCTTAAGCTACAAGTCTCATATTCCACCACTATATTTGGCATCTCCCTGTGACCCAGCAAAGTCAGCTTTGCTCCAGGGGCAAGACTGCAAAACCCATTTTGGACAATTTGGCTGAAAATACTGAAATTGCCTGCCATGTGACAACAGTCAACCTGCCAGCATAGGAATCTGTCTTTGCATGGCCAGAAAATATTTCTGTGGGTGAGAGCCTGTATTTCACATTTCATTATCTTTATCCCTAAGTTAAGGTTCTCTTAGCTTGTTGCAAGGTACTCTTTTGAAATTGTGATACTAATCTACAGCAGCAGATCCCAGATTGTTGTCCCTGATCCACCTTGGTCACTGAGGCCCCAGTAAATTAGCTGTGAAACCTCACCTGCCTTGCCAGTGCCTCCAGTTAAAACCTCAGTGTGTTCAGGTAAGGAGAGCCTTTGCTTCATGTTCTTGACACATGGAGTAACCTTTCTGTGGAGGAAAAAAGCACCAAGCAGCTGTTTGGCAATGTGTGTTTGCAACTTGATCTTATTATTTATAAACTAGGGCTTAACCTTTTAAAATATTTATTATTATTATGTCTCAGCAGTAAAATAGCATCAAAGTTCTTGCAGATGTATTTTTTCTTTGCATTTGGGTTTACCTCTCACTGCTTTAAAGAAAACTTGCTTATATGTGCTGTTCCAAGGTGTCATTTGTCTCAAAACAGCCAAACTCTGAAACATGAACTGGATTCTTTTCTGGCTTGTGCTTTTAGTGAAAAAAAAAAAAAAAAAAAAAAAAAAAAAAAAAAAAAAAAAAAAAAAAAAAAAAAAGTTTATCAGTGGCCTATCTTCAGAGAAAGCCTTGTAGGGACTGGCTCCAGATAATGGTATCACTTACACCTGTGCAATTGATCATATCAGAACTCCTTTCAGGCAACTCTGAATATCATATGAGATCTATGAGTTGTGACTGGAAGCAATGCTTGGACCATGAAACACTATGTGTGTAAGGAGAATGTAGGTTCATCATCAAATCCCAAACTGAGGTCACAGGGACTGACAGTAAATGGAGGAAAAAAAAAAAAAAAACACAACAACTTTTATTTGAAACAGAGAGGAAACCTCTCAGGAGTCACTAAGGCACAGGCAAAGGAACTGTCCTGCTTAGAGTAGGACTGTAATTTAAGTCCTGAAGAGCTACTTTTGGCTCTCCTTTAGCAAGATTACAAAGTAACTTATTAGAAACACAATGTATTGTAAGGCAGTTCTTAGAAGCCTCTGGATGGCCAAGCCTTCAAGGGTTTGTTACATGGTACACCAACCAAATGTACAAAGAAATAAAATAATGATTGTGGAGAAAGATATATACTAGTAAACTCTCTGAAATCAGTTCCAATTCCCAGTTCTGTCTTTCACCTGTTTTAGACAAAATTGGCTGTTAACCACAAGAGCGATGTACCTTGATCAAAATTAAACTCTGATTTTTGGTATGTGTCCTGTCGTACATCCATATCAACCCTTTAAGGCCCTTGGTATTGGACCTGACTTCTCCTGTCCAGTGACCAGACAAACAGCAGCAGTAACTAACAACAGCAAACAAAGAGTTTCTATATTCCTGATAAACAAGTGAAACATAAACAGAGGAACTGAGACTGATACTGTATACCTTCTCAGCCGGAAGCACAGATTAGGCTGGGCAGCTGATGCAGCACAGGATGCACAGGTATGTTTTACTTGCAGAAAGACAACACACAAGCTTGGAACAAAATCATCACTGCTGCAGGTTATTGTGTCTGTGACATATTGCAGCCCACAGGGCACAGACTGTGTGTTTCCCTCTTGTCACTTGTAAAAGTTCCTGTTGCATTTTCTGCCGAGGACTTCTGGTTCCTACGGCTTCCCTTTTCCTTGTGGAAATAGCAGTGCAGTGGGAACAGTGTGGTTGGAGGTTGCTGTGGGTTCCCTGGGGAAGGGTGGCTGGGAGGGAAGGGGCAGCTTGTCCCCAGCAGCCTTGCTCCCCTCTGGAAGTGGCTCCTCAGGCCTCGCTGTGTTTCCCTACTCCAGCCTGTGATAATGCTGGAGCTAAACAAGGCTGTGAAGCGTGGCAAGGATGTCCTACAGCAGTTGTGTCTCCTGTGATGCCACTGGGCCAAGTCATCAACATATTAGAGGAAAATAATGTTTATTCTTAATAAAAGCCTGATTGCATTTTAATTTGACTTAATTGTGTTTACATTGAAAGACACTGGATGTTCCCTTGCTTTGTCCACAGCAACAAGTTTGAGATGAGACAGTAAGTTACATTAAGACCGTTCCTGTTCAAAAATTCAGTGCCTTCCCCAAGAACAATACCACATGTCTGCCATGACAGGGGCAAAACAGAAAGGTTTCTAACAGAAAAGGGTAACAGGAAAATTATCAACAAAGGGACAACTGAAAGAAGTGGACATAAAGTTTGGATATAATAATATGGAAGGTCTGGTATACCCTTCTGAATGAAATTTCAATAAAAGAAATTTGGAAACAACCCTAATTCTAATCCTCTGTTTTATGAACATAGATGTCACTGCTGTATTGCTGTAGCATTCTGAATCATCAGAATGCTCCTATAGTTGTCAGCTTAACAAGTCTCTTCATCCATTCATCCTTCTACTATGCCTCTCCCACAACCAACTTGCCCTTTGAACTTCACTGCCAGCTTAACCTGATGAAAACAGGCTTGAGTTCTTGGAGAATTCAGAGCAGAACTGTCTTCTTGGTGCTTTTATATACTATTTGGCAAAGAAGCCCAATGAAGAATTGGAGCCCTAATAGTACTCAGAAAACAGGCAGAACAACCTTTCCTTTCTTCCATATAGGTTCATCAGCTTTCTGCAGCCTTTTGTTTCCACCACAACTCACCTGCGTGACAAACATTCTCTGCAGAGGTTGGAAGTGAAGACTTTTACATACAAGTATAACGTCACAGTGCTGCTCAGAAAAGGAAAGTAAATACACTAAAGATCCTCTGGTCTTCCCCACCCCCAAACAGCCCTGTGTAACTGATGCTGAGCAGTGCTTCAGAACAGAGAGCTGCCCCAAGGAGCAGACAGCAACACGGTATTACCTGGCTGGCTTGTACTGTACAAACAAAGCTCACAGGGTGTAATGGCACCTGAGGGGTCCAGGGGCCTCTTGAACTGTTAGAGTCCCTTCTGGGAGGGGCCAGGAAAGAGGAGCCTTGTGCTGTCAACCAGTCCCTTCCGCAGGAACTATACTACCCAGGGCACTGAGAGGCCTTTTGCAATCTTTAAGTCTTTGCACTCTCACTTGATAACAACTCCTATTAGCATCTGTTTATCCAGTTCTTTCACTGCCTATCTGTTTCCCACACTGACAGGTGATAACCCAAATTCCTCATTCTCACTCATCTCTGGTCCGAGGTTGCTTCCCTGTGAAGTGACGCATTTCTCCTGATAGTCCTTAGTCTCAGTACTGGGGAAGATCTCCATCACTGATTCACTACAGAATTAATTAGGGAGCCCCTGGTGGTCTAGAGGGTAAAGGCGCTGCACTGTCACTGCAGAGACCCGAGTTCGATTCCCGGTTAGGACACTCCCCAGGCACATGGAGCTCGTTAGCCCTGTAAGGCAATCCATCTACGTCCTGAGGACCTCGCTGCCACTGTCCAAGCGTGCTTGGCCCCAGCAGATGAACCTCAGGATTAAAGGGTGGGCTCAGTTCCGCGCACACTGTGTCTCACCTAAAAAATCCAATGCGCAGGCTGGAAGGTGGAAAGACCTTCCCCGGTTCTTCATTTGCGAAGACTGGCCATTACATTACATTACAGAATTAATTAATCCTCTAGAGTTCAAGTAGGGTCAGAAGATGCCTTTTGGACATCAGGTTTGCCTGCTGAGGTGAACAACTGAATCCATCTCAAGGTGAACACTCCAGTTCCGCTTGCACAGATCTGATTCCCCCTGCAACCTCCCTCGGTGATCTGCGCTGCATCTTATCCAGAGAAGCAAAACAAAGGGAACAGAAAACAACAGGAAGACTCTGCAGAAACTGCCTGCAGAGCCAGTACTGCCCAGAGGTAAACTCTGGAGAAACAGGCACTGCTAGTCTCTGAAAGTCCCATGGCAGGATCTGCACCAACAAAGCTGACATCCAGAGGAAGGTTCTGAAGGGTGAGGAGGTGGGAAGTGAGGCCAAATCTTTCCAAGATGCTTGTCAACATGTACAGAAAGTTACTTACTGGAATATTCAAAAGCCCTTAGTTGTATAGGTTCTGTAAGTGTGCTCTGATACCTGGGCACTGCAGCAGGTACCAAACACTATGGCTGTTAGAATGAGCACTATCAATATGTGAAAGCAGGGTCAAAATTCCAAAAGCCCATGTGAAAAAACACCAAGGTAAAAATACATTTTTTTTTTATTTCTACCAGACAGCTCTGTAAATTCAGGAATAAGTTTTTGAAGGAAGATCCAGAAATAAATACATACCTTTAATAACTGCATGGGGTGTAACGGGAAGATTAACAAATACTTATATATAATTTTAGTTACTATATCCAAAGGATGATGCAGAGCAATCATTTGTTTTTATGCTGCTATTAAGGTTGCTGTCCTGCATGGGCAGAACCAAGCAGCCAAACCATTCCCCTTGTCCCAGTCATGTTGAAGTGGTAGGTTTCTACAAACACACTGTTATGTTTAGTTATGCCTGCTGTAGCCTCATCAAACATTAGTGCTCACCATTTCAGCTGCTTCCACTGACAAAGACTTTGAGCTGTTTAATGCACCTGATGCTGATCATTCCTGCCCGGAGTCATGGAGAAATGCATTCACTAGTCACTGCTTTATTAACTCCTGGGGCATTTTGCTAGAGGCATTCAATGGGCAGAACATCTTTCTTTTTGAGATTAGAAATGATGTGAAATACTTAGGAGTTATTAACTTTTTAGCTTTAAATCCGTTTGCTTTGACTTTCTAGAGATTTGCTTCAGGGTTGGAGAAGAATGTTTCCAGGTGAGCCTGATTTGGTTCAGCTAGTTGAGACAGATGCAGCTCATTTGGGGGTGGGAGGGAGAATGGTGAGGGGAGGATAAAAGGCTTTGGAAGGCACTGTAGAGTCCTTTCTGTGGGGGAAATTTTCTAGTCTTCTGTCTTGGCTCCTGGTTTTTTCCATCTTATTATGCCATCACCTATTCCTCTTAATTGTTTTCTATCTTTTGAGTATTCCCCATCTGCAGATTTGCGTCCCTGCAGCAGCCCTTTAGTTATCCCTGGCAAAGACAGCAAAAGCTTTCTGGGGGGAACTCCTTCCGTCAGGACTCGCCGCTTGCCTCCCCGCCTGGCCTGGTGCTCCATTGACTGGGAGCAGCTCTGCCTCCTGCAGCCCATAGGCTCTGGGGGCTTTGGTTCTGTCTACAAAGCCACCTACCATGGTACAACTGTGGCTGTGAAGCAGGTGAAGAAAAGCAGCAAAAACCGGTTGGCATCGCGACAGAGCTTCTGGGCTGAGTTGAACGTAGCCTGGCTACAGCATGAGAACGTGGTACGTGTGGTGGCTGCCAGCACGTGTGCCCCGGCCAGCGAGAACAGCCTGGGCACCATCATCATGGAGTATGTGGGCAGCATCACCCTGCACCATGTGATTTATGGCACTGGTGATGCGTGGAGACAGGGTGAAGATGACGAAGGAGGATGTGGAAGGAAGGCTCTGATCATGGAAGAGACTGTGTGCTATTCCTGTGACATCATGACTGGCTTAGCCTTTCTCCACTCACAGGACATTGTGCACTTGGACCTGAAGCCTGCGAACATCTTCATCACTGAGCAGGGAGTGTGCAAGATTGGAGACTTTGGGTGCTCCCAGAAACTGGAGGAGGGCTTGTCTCACAGCTCCCATGTTTGCCAGCAAGGGGGCACGTACACACACCGTGCCCCTGAGCTCCTCAAGGGGGAGAGGGTCACTGCCAAAGCAGACATCTACTCGTTTGCCATCACCCTCTGGCAAATCATCATGCGGGAGCAGCCCTACCTGGGAGAGCGGCAGCACGTGCTCTATGCTGTGGTAGCCTACAACTTACGCCCTTCGCTGGCTGCTGCTGTTTTCCACGAGTCACCACAGGGCCAGAGACTCCAGAGTATTATTAGCTGCTGCTGGAAGGCAAACGTAGAGGAGCGCCTGAGTGCAGCCCAGCTGCTTCCCAGGCTCAGGGCCCTCAAACAGAGCCTCTAGGAAAACTCTGGACACTTTAAATTTGTTTTGTCAAGTTTTCTTTTCCTTAACCCTTCCTCTGAACATAATTAATTTAGCCCCTGTGTGTTCTAAAGGTTTTGTTGCTGTTTTTTTTTTTTTGAAAAAAAAAAAAAAAGGAAAAAACCAAACTGTTTTGATATCAGAAGACTGTAAATAAAGAGATTTAATAAAACTGTGGGATTTTACCTTTAGAGGGGATAGATGCAAGGATCAAGACACTGGCAGATAAAACTTCTTCCAGCTGATCTGTTGTGTGCTCTCTTGCTCAGGGAGAAACTGGGGAATGTGATGTGCAAAAAAATAGTTGGTTTTAAGTAAGTGAAGTACAAAAAAAGGGGCTGAGGAGCTGCTTTTGCAAGATTCTTTATACATAATACCTTTTGGTATTTTCAAAATGTCAGATATGAGTAGTTCTTTCACTAGCTAAGGTTGTGCATTTGAGCTTTTCCTCTCCATTTACCAAGGAATGAGTATGTATCGCAAATCAATGAACGCAGAAAAATAAATATGGAGTGTCAGTGGGTTTTTTTTCCCTTGTTCTTGGATGTACTTAATTCCAGTAAGTATGCTGCTTTTGATAAGGAAAATGTTAACTGCCCATATACTTCTTGAAATAAGGAAACTTTTTGCCAGTCTAAGGCTATTAAGAGTAAGAAGATACATTAACAACCTGCACTTTTATAAGACCTCCCTGCTACGAGGGAGGCGTTAATTGCAACTTGCTAGTTGGGACACTGTAAACTTTAATATTTGAAGCATTATAAGAGCATCTTGTGCAGAGTAGAAAGCTAACAGGTTTTTGAGGTACGGGGGAGTTAGAAAAATAAAAAAAAGAGGGGGAAAAGATTAATGGTAAAGGGAGGACTATTTGTGCTTCATAATGCATGGGTCAGTATTAGACAAGATACTGGAAGTACTGAAAAGGAAGTTTGCTTAAAGCAGTAATAATGATACTCTGCTAGTACTCAAAGTGTTTGCTATTGAACTATTCTCTGCACTGCTTATGTCTTATCTACTATCTTTCCTAATCTGGCTGTAATGTGTCTGGGAAAGGAAGTGCTGTAGGCAATGCAGATGACAAAAAGCTCTGATCCATGATTTATCAGAACTGATAATTGTACATCTGAGCCCTTATCAGAGGCAAACTGCTGTAGCTGATATTTGCCATTCTGCTCAAAGACTCTGCTTCGTTTTAAGACAGGAGAAAGAGTGATGTTTCAGTCAAATTGTTTTTCTTCTTTACCCTTCCTCCCCTTTGCTTCCATTCTGGAAAAAAAATCCCAAAGGAATTGAGCCAGTTTCCTGATTTCTGACACACATCTGTTCTTAGCCCCGTGAAATCCTGGAAATGAGCAACTATGTGAATTTGAGATGATTCTGTAGGTCTTTATGGTATTTGGGTTGGTAATTGAAATTAATGGTTTATAAAGCATATCTAAGCTTAACTATTTCTTGGTCTTCCATCCCCGTTGAGTGGAACTGTAAAATGCTGGCTGGAATCAAAAAACCTAAGGTGAATCCTGGAAAATATTTTCCATGTTTTCTCTGTCAAAATAATTATGCTACAGAACCAGAACTTTTTTTGTGTGTGTTGCATAACTTATTTTAATAAAGAATTTATCTTAAAGTTATCATAATAAGTCAGTTACCTTTTGAAATGATTAGCTGAGGGCATCTAGAGATAAAATATTAGATAAAGCCATTGACATGCCTGATCTTAACATTAAGCCTTACATAAAAGTGCTTCTCCAGTTTTCAAAAGTATATAATAAAAAATGGAGTTGAAGTTTGTTAGGAGTTCCTAGATGCTTATGTGTTATATTTATTTTGCCAACCTAGGTAACTTGTTCCTTATACTGCTAGAAAACTGCTATTTTTTCTTTAATGATCCTTCAGCATCAACAAGTGCTACTTGAGTCTCTGTGAAAAATCAAGCACCCTTCAACTTCTCTGTTGTACTTGACAGAATGATACTGGATGTTCAAGACCTACTCTTGAAGTATAATCAGCTCTGCAGGTGTCTCTGTCAATTTTTCAGGATTCTTTTCTGATAGCGAGAGAGAGAGAACTCTGCACAGCATTCAAGATATAGGCACATCATACTCTGCTGTAATAATGGTGGTCTCTAGTAACTTCTAAGGTTTGATTTGTTTTGAGGGTTTTTTGATTGCTATTGAGCTCTGAGTTAATACTAATCAAGAAACATCTCAACCCTAATAGCTCAGAGTCCCTGGTTCTATGTGATGGGGATAATTTTACCTTTTGCTTCGCTTTATATGCATATACCTTGAATTTTTTTCTGCCAGTTTGTAGTTGGCCCTTGCAATTAATGTCTGAAATAACT